ATTAATTGTACAGAGGGGTTTCATTATAATATTTATAATATGTACATAATGAATGGACTTTGATAAAGTTCACTCCATGTATATTACTCTTTCTTAACCATCCTCTCCTCCCTCCCCTTTTAAATGGTTTTTGTGGGTTTCACTGTGCTATTTTCATGTCTGTATGTATATATACATATATTTAGTACTTCTATAATATTATATAATATTCACCCCCATCACTCACTCCCCTCCTTCTATCCACTGATCCCTCCTCCCCCAACAGTTCCCTTTACAATCATGTCATATTAGTATTTTTTAAGGTCTAGATTCCACATGAGCAAAAACATGCAATATTTGTCTTTCTGAGTTGGCTTACTTGCTTAACATGATGATCTCTGGTTCCATCCATTTACCTGAAAATGATATAATTGCATTCTTCTCTATGACTGAATAATATTCCAGGGTATGTATATACCACACTTTCTTTATCCAATCATCAGCCATTGGGCATCTATGCTGGGCCCATATCACAACTATTATAAATCCGTACACTAAATTCTTGACATGGATTCCTGTCTAGGCCTTTGTTAATCAATGTGTGCTTGAAAGTAATAATAAATGAGTGCTTTTTATGCACTATGCAGACCACTTCATTATTTTCCTTTAATTTTCTCAATAGCCATATGGGTTATATCCTATAATTCCTGTTTTTACATGGACAACCAGGTTTAGATAGTCCAAGTAATTTCCTCCAGGTTTTGCAGGTACAAAGGGATGGGGATGGAATTTAAACTCAGGTCTATGGGACTCAAGAACCCATTCAAAAAGCACACTCATTTTGTTCTACTCACAGAATGCAGTGACAGTGTCAGTGTCTGGATCCCTTTGTTTACTTTCTGTTCTGAAGTCCAAGTTCTTTTGCACTGTAGCTCCATACTGCTCCTTTCACAGTTCTTGGTGGTGGTGGTGGTGTGGAGACTGGAGTCTGGTGCCTGGACCTCTTAGACTTTTCCTAGAATCTTCCATGGGCCCTTTCTGGCAGTCCCAGCTCATTGCTGCCAATGTCACTGACAACCTTACTCTACTACTGCTTTTCTTCTTGCCATTGGTTTCCTGTGGCCTGCAGAATGTCTTTGTCAATAGCATTGTGGCCAACCCAAGGATAGGTTCAACTTGGGCCAAGGAGAATTATGTGTTGGAGGAGGTGGGGAAGAGAGAAAGAGTGACTTGAGAGACATTTTTGAGTGCATTTATGTTTGTGAAGACAAGGAATGATTAGAAAATGTTTATCAATCTACCAGCACCAGCCAATCAGAACGCACACCTGCCATAATACTGAAGCAGGTGCCGGAGGCATCCTGCTGTGACAGGCCACTCCCTGTCGGTGGTCGCATCTTGAGTATTATCTAAGGGGTTCCAGGCAAAGGCATTGTTAGGATCTTGGTGAGCAGCCATTTGCCAAATGGCTGAAGAATTTCAATATTAGAATGTAGAGTATCAGCCCTAGGTGAGTGTGTCTGTGGAAGGAAAACAGATTTCAGAATAAGATAAAATAAAATAAAAAAATAAACTCTTGTGTCCTCAAGAGAAGTTTGAAATATGTTAAATTTTTATATAAAACTAATTTCAACCTTTCCTTTTAATGAACAGCCAGAAAAGTCTCTCTAAGTAAAAATCTGATCCTTTCATTCCTCTGTTTAAAACTATATGATGTATCCCATGTCTCCCCCATATAATGGTTTCCATTCCCCTCCCTGATGAAATGAAACTTCTTATCTTGGAATTGAAGAGATCACACGATACAGTTCCTCATTGCTTTCATTTTCCTCTCCTTTCCAGCACACACACGCACGTATGCACACACACACACACTCACACAGCTTATCAACTATTCGCATCAAAACCATTTGGTATTTCTAGGACATGGTATGTTAGCTCATGCACCTTTGCCTACTTTTGTTTTATTCTGGGGGGCTCCTACTAATCCTTTAGTGCTTATTTCATAAGACACTTCTTTGAGGAGTCTTATTCCCCAGCTGGTCTTCACTCATAAACAGTCATGTGTCTATCTCCTCCTCAGCTCTGATTTCCATCATAATTGTTGAGGTAAATGCCAATGTCTCACTCCAGATGGTGAACCCCATGTCCACATGTCACAACAGCTCTCTTCTTCCTTGAAGCCTTTCTTGTTAACCCAATGCTTAAGTTATAATAGGTACTAAATGCACACTCAAGAGGATAAATGCACTTTCTCCCTTCATCCTGGAAGTGGTTCATATAACAAGTATAGGAGGTGATGGAGCTGAAAGGCACAGTGGGTTTTGTGATTTGTACATCACAGGCTTAAATTCAGTCTTTAGATTCCACAAGGGAAAATTTGGCAACATAACTTTTTTTAATATTACAAAAATTAATATAGAAAAATTGACTTAGGTAGGTCCTTTTTTGGTTATGCACCCCCATGGCAAAATTAATTTATTTCCTTTCCAAAGTCTTATCCAAAACCTATTCATTAGGTTCTGCTTTTTTAAGAACTTAACACGACACTTCCTGTTTGAGAAGTGTGTGTTAATTACAGCCTCCTTATTGTTTATCCCTTGAGTCTTGGTACTTGTTTCTATCCTTCTTCTGTTCCTCTTTTTCTTCTTCTCACTGATAGCTAGTTCTGGACCTAATGTCAAGCTGTCCCAGAATTGATGGTTGCCGCCTGAGTCCTGCCTCCTCCTGTGGTTCCTGGGATCCCCCTAAGGGCCAGTGCTTTTAAGGAACTTATAGCATATGGGGCTTTTAAGCCATGGCTTTTGCTAGAATTTCTGTACAGGTTTGCAGATTGATTTCTAACTATGTGATTTCCTTTCAATAGTCCTCTCCAATGTGACTAAAGACCTCAGCCCTCACGTTTAGATCTCATTTAAACTTTGACTTTCTCAGTGCAAATATCTCTGCTTATCACCACAGTTCACTGCTGTCCGTAGCATTTTATTTTGGCTTTACATTGTGTTTAAGTGTAGCTGCCAAATAACTACAAAGGACAAGAAGAGCATTCTATCATTTTGTGTAAAATTTTCTATAAACTTAGCTGTAGCCAGTTATTATATATAGAACTTATTACATAGAATACAGAAGTTATTATTATATTATAGATATAGCATAATTTTCTATAGAAATTGGCTCTAGACAGTTCCTGAATGTTTACATTGTTTTTTCAAATGAAAACTAAGCAGAAAGAACTCTGGAGTTAAAGAGTTCTTGGAGTGTCTCAAGTGGCAGAGTGCCTGAGTTCAAGTCCTAATGTTGCCAAGAACTCTGGAGCTATGTCATACAGCATGGTAGACACAATGGCTGTTAGGTCTTGCAATACGGCTAGTCCTAACTGAGATGTTCTGTAGATATAAAATACACATCTGGTCTGGGTGTGGTGGCTCCTGCTTGTCATCCCAGATACTTGGAAGGTAGAGATTGGGAGGATGGCAGTTCCAAGCCAGTCTGAGCAAAAAGTTAGTGAGATCCTCTTCTCAACACAAGTGTCATGCCAGCTACACTTGGAGGTGTAAATAGGAGGGTCACGGTCCAGGTTGGCTTGGACAAACAACACAAGACCATACCTGAGAAATAAAGCAGGGAAGGGCTGGGTGTGGCTGAAGGTATAGAGCACCTGCCTAGCAAGTGTGAGGCCCTGAGTTCAAACCCCAGTACCACCACAAACAAAAACAAATGAAACAAAAAAAAATCTATTTCTAGAGACCACAAAAGAGTGGAAAATACATTCTCAACAAGTTTGATATTACTTATAAGAAATATAAAAGATACTATTCCACACATTTTGGGTTAAATAATAAAATCTTTAAAAAGAGGACCATTGTTGGTACTGGAGTTTGACCTTAGAGCTTTGTGCTTGCTAGGCAAGTGCTCTACCACTTGAGTCACTCTTCCAACACTTTTGCTCTGATTATTTTGTAGATAGGGTCTCACTTTTTGTCCAGGCTAGCCTGCACAGTGATCTTCCTATTTTATGCTTCCTTTTGTAGCTGGGATGACAGGCAGGCATGTACCACCATACCCAGCTTTTTTCCACTGAGATGGAGTCTCACAAACTTTTTTGGTCCAGGCTGCCCCGAATCTGTGATCCTCCCAATCTCAGCCTCCCAAGCAGCTGGGTTTACAGTTGTGCGACACATCTAAAATTACATGTGTGGCTTGCACTATTTGCTATGGGACTTCTCTGCTCAAGAGGACATGTCTTCTGGTTATTTAATATTAGCAAGCTTAAGGAGAGATACAAGGGCAAGTTAGTGCAGAATTAAAAAGCAGAAAAAGCTAAGAATGACAGGAGGAAGCTTCTGCTGGATTTTGCAGATTCTGTTGTATACACACTGACATGCCACCTGCCTTGACAAGCTTTTAAGAAGCCCTGCAAATCTCCAGAGACATGAAGTTGAACCAAATGACTTCTGTCTAAGGCTCGTTACGGGTGCCTCACCTCAAAAAGGCTTAAAATCAATATTGATTTTTGTCACTTATTTTACCTGAGAATTAAAATATCCCTTAGATTTATTACCTCCAGGTTTTTGGTTAGGATTCAGGGATGAGTGTGATAGCAAGGGTGGTAATATGTTATGTAGATATCATTTAATTTATGAACTCTATAGCCCCCTAGGTAGCTTTCAGTAGAAGAAATATATTAACCACATACACATTACCCTTCATTTTGTGGTGAGGATTTCCAAGCTGGGTCCCTGTTGTACCACTTAATTTATGGTCTGGCCAGGTACACGCACCTCCATACAATATTTCAATAGAAGTTGCACCAGCTATCAGAGAGGATGAAGACGAGCTTCCAAGAAGCCAGCTGGACAGCTGATGGATCACTCTCCTACAGTAGGCTGAGGCACTCAATAGCCTTTAAAGCTTGTCAGCAGTTTGGGTCTTTTTCTGCTCTGAGAAGCTGCACACACCGGCCTAGACAAGCAGAATTAGCCATACTCAGCAGGCAGAGGGCAGCTCCCAGAGTTACTTACGTTGACAGCCGGAGTGCCAGGAATTTCCCGGCAGACACTCATCACACTTAGGCCCTGTCGTTCCAGTCTTACACTCACAGAATCCTGAGCCATTACAGCGATCATGGATTGAGCCAAAGGGGTTACAATAACACTCTGTAGAAACAAGACAACACACAGGCTGGAGACAAGCCCACTGGGCTTATAGGTCATCAACACAGGAACGTCAGCTTACTGAAATGCATCACTTAAAGATGTCCATTAACGAAATGCTTTGGCAAATACAGCTACTTCAGGACCTTTTTTTATTTATTTGCTCAGACTTTCACAATATCATTTTTATGATATGGGAGGAAATCAGCTGAAAACTTCCAAGGAAACAAGACATCATGCTTTTCACTGGTGACAGATAGTAATTAATGGAGATTCCATTTGTCAGGGCATTTTTAGATGGCTTAATGAACGGCAGGAGAAGTTTGTAAATCAAGGATAAATCAATATGCCATCAGTGTAAAATCCGTTTTAAATTATTAAAATGGGCTTCTCTGTTACACTCAATATTTAAGAACTGCTCAACATTTAAAATGGGCAGTGTGAATGCACTTTGCTCACTTGAAGGCAGTTTTGTTTTATGACTTGGGACCGTGCCGTAAGTTATCTATGTAGATATTGCTGTGTGATGAGCCCTTGGATGTTGCATTTGTTTGCTAGGCATGGTAGTGCAGCTCTTAGGCAGCACAGATTAATGATCATAAAAGAAAAATAATCAATTCCATAATCCCAAATGAATATCAACATAGGTATAATTTCAAATGTACACTTTTCATTAAAATGTCTGCTGGCAGGGCAGCAGTATAACTTTTTGTATAATAAAAGGTCAATGGAATATTTTCTTGATTCTTTATTGATTCTTATGTTGACTATTTATATTTCTGAGATTCTATTATGGTTAAACCTGGAACCATTAGTTGGGAGGTTAACACAGGAAGTGTGTAGTGTAAGTTATCTGTGAACCAAAGTTCCTTTCCTCATTACCACACTGTGTAATCTTTGGCAACTTAATATTTCTGTCTCTCAATGCCCTCTATTGTAAAATGAGTCCATTCGGAGTGTCTCTTGCCCAAAATCCAGATCAACTCATAGTCAATCAACCAATAAACTGAAGTCTTTGAGAAGCTCAGTTTCATATATTCAAGTTTAGTGTCATAGATTTTCAGGTTAGGGTTTATCACTAAGGGTTTTCACTTAGGGTTTATCACGGTACAAGGACCCAGGAACTTTGCTCTTTGTATCATTGAGACTAATTAGATAATTTCTTCAAACTATGTGGAGCACCTCAGAGTTATGATTTATTTCATGTTGTCAGTCTTTTAGTTCAGTATCTTATTAAAAGAAACATCCATGAGACCAACAGGGACATATGTAGATAAAAATAAAACTAAAAAAATCTCTAAAATGCTCCCTATGCCTGGCTTGGTTTGTATGTAGTAACTGGCCTTTACTTTAAAGCTACATTGTCTAGTATAGTGTGTGTGAAAGCAGTTTTTACAATATTTTAAAATAGCAATTTTGTTGTGATTTTTCAATGTTTGTACATATGTATGCTATAAGTTTGGAGCTATGCAAGAACTGTAATGTGTTTCTTACTATTTAGACTAAAGCTTTTATTTTTAATTTTTTGGTGGTACTGCAGTTTGAACCCAGGATCTTGCACTTGCTAGGTAGGCTCCATCACTTGCGTCATGGCCCCAGCCCTATTTCTTACTATTTAAAGTGCTTAAGTTGACAACGAATTACCAACATTTTATAAGCCAGTTTGCGGGGATACATCTGGCCAGCATGAATTCACATACTGTCCTGGTTAGTTAGTCCATAACAATTAATTAATATAAGGTTTTAGATGCAAAAAATGTAAGCAAATTAAAAAAAAACAATGGAACACTTAAAGCATTGTATAAGCCAGTGTTTGTCATATGAAAACTGTGGTAAGTTACTCAAACAGTCATGAAAATAAATGACAAGGAGAGGTGTAATTTTACCCTCAACCTTACATACAAATACTTCACTTTTTCAAAAAATATCAGTTAAGGAGCAATATTCAACGGTGGATGTTAGAATAGTGGTAATGGCCTTGCAGGATCATATTTTATTTCATGATACTATGAACAATATCAGGACTGTTAGATTGCAAAACAACATAAAATACTTTTGGTAGCTTGATTAAAAAGTTGTACTACAACTGATTTATAGATATTAAAATTGTCTTGTGTTTGCTTTGTTCTGTACAAGGTACCTCTGATTACTTGATCTTGGGTTTCAAGGGGAATTAAAAATAACACATTATAACTTTGAGATATGTCTAGCAGCAACTGCCGAGCCGTGTGTTTCATTCGGATGCAAAGCTTGTTAGCAGCGGAATTATTAATGGTGATTACCCAAGGTCACGAACCATGTGTCCTCTTGCTTCCTGCTTACTGTTCGAGTTTATATGAAACAGAAGCATGCAAAGATGTCATCTTCATGTAATTGTTGTGTCACCACAGGGTAATTACATGCATCCTTGGAGACATGGCTGTGTTTGGAATTTGTAAGAAAAATGAGTAAGTTCACCCATTACAAAGCAGCAATCACCGTGGCAACATGGACTTGCCAGCTAGCTGCATTTTATATTTGCTGTTATATAAAATGATGCAAGTACTTCAAAACATCCATTTTAACACAGACTCTACTTTTCTCAAAGACACACTCTGTTCCTCCACACCCAGGATGGGGACGTTAATTGCCAATTGCTAAAGAATTGGCAAAACACCTTTAAAAAAAGAAAAAAATTTAAAGAAGACTTAGATGAAGTTTAAATTTGCCAAGATTAGTGCCTAATTCTGTGAAAGTGAGTTAAGTAAATAGCCATTCATTTTCATTAGTGCTTTGTAGACAAAATGGTATTAAAATTAACTCTCAGTTGTTTGTGTTACATTCTCTCAAATTTGACACTTAATCTTTTCCTTGACTCTTTTACTTTAAGGTCTTTTCTTTAGTTTATTTAAAATAGTAAATATTGTCAAGCACTTTAATTTTATTTAAAAAAAGATTAGGTTTTATTTCTGTGTTCCTATTTGTTTTACCTTTTGTTTTTTACGTATTTGTAGCATGACATTTACATATTTTTACAAATGGAATTCAGTGAAATATACTCTTCATTCAAAGTTCAGCCTTTTAGGTTTTATTTATACTCTGAAATCTTTTAACCCAAGTATTATGAAAACAATTGAACTTCTGCTCTAAACTGATGGTGGAATTGCTGCTCTCATCCAAAAAGCAAACTAGAAGTAAAAATCTGACATGCTTTGCTAATTGTGTCAGAGTGGTTAGGAGAGGGTGTAAAGTCTTTGAAGTCAGGACACCCTTTGTTGAAGCAGTATGATTTGGGTCAATTAGCCTTACTTTTCTCAAGTAGAAAAAAGGGGCAATTATTAGTATAATACTTATCCTACTGTTTTGCTAATAGTATTAAGATAAAAATTTTTTCAAGTTGGTTCATAATTTACCAAGTGCTTCCTGTGCATCCTATCTGATCTAGATTTGACCAGGAGGTTCACAATTTACCCAAGGCACATAGCTATCAAATGGTAAATTGAGTCTGAACCCAGCTCTCCAGCCTCCAAGCCCAGTACTCTCCTTATTTTATTTACAAATGATAAAAGAGGAAGCATTTTGAAAAATAGAAACTACCATCAATATCAACAGGTTATGTATAAGTAGCCCAATTAAATTCAAAACAAGCATATGGCTGTTTTATGTGACACTTGGTAAGAACCTATGCAACCTTGACAACCCAATCAGAAAGCAATGATCCCAGATGTATAGTTGGATTGGATATTTTTTTTTGATGAAAAGATTACCTGTCACTTTCCATCTTGCATATTTTATTTAATTCAGTCTCAATGTGAAAATTTCTACCTTTAAAATCGGCTGCCTGTATAACTAACTACCAGTGTAATATCAGACAGCATTTCAAATGGATGCATTTCTTCACAGTGAGTATAGATTGAAATTCTATTTATTGTCTCTTATTTTTCTATCATCCTCTCTTTCTTAAAGACTTGCTGCATGCTTTTCTGGACAGAAAGGACACCTGGTCTTCTCCAGATAGCAAGAGCAGTGGTCATTGTATGTGTGTGTGTGTATGGTTGGGCTCAAGGTACTCCAAAGGACCCTGTTTTCCAGTGCTCATGCACTTTGAAAACTAAGAGAATTTATTGCCTTGAATAAGGAAGAAATTACTCTTTCTTCATGTCTATAGGAAAATCCAATAAATGGAATTTCATTATGGTATTTGGAAAAGTCTGGCTAACGTCTACAGTACTACTAGCTTTATTTCCAAATGACAACATTTTGAATCCACCAATACTTGTTGATCACCAACTATATGCAAGAGTTTGTACCCCAAATTTTTATACCTAGAATTAAGTCCTATACAATGAATTTCCATTTTAAAGGTTGATTGTATAATTCGAGGTCATAAAATCGGGTGAAAATTACCAAGTTTTCAGATTGCATGCAAAAAAGAAAAGAATAAAGGAAGAAAAGTCTTCATTTCCTAAACAACAACACAAGAATTCAAAAGACAGCCCCCAAGTATGACTTCAACCAGTACAGTTGAATGGGCATTTGCTCCATTGACAAACTTCATTCTGGTTCAGCAGAGGGGCGAATCAACAACAGCCTCGCCACCCTAAGTAGCTCCCCATAGCTGGAAAGGCACAAAACAAAAGGCTGAAATTATAATGGAACTGACCTATGCACACATTCTCATCGTCCAGCTGTGCGGAAGCATTTCTGAAGTAGCCCAGCCTGCACAACTCACAGTGCTGCCCTCTAGTGTTGTGTTTACAGCTCACGCAAATGACTGTGTTGAGCAGATCGATGTAACTGCATCGATTGGAGTGGCCGAAGCATTCACAGTCTTGCAAGGAAGAACAGAAATGTATGCAGAGTGTCTACAGCAGCAGAGTAACAGCACACTACATGCTTGGATAAAATGAGGGATGGACAAAAGATGGGGGGATGGCATCACATATATGTGAAACACGACACATGGCAACAACAGGTGTTTGTGACTGGCACGGCAGTAGCGTCTGTTTCGAGCAGGATAGAAAGGTCGGACATTCAAAACATGACTGGAGATTGTTAATTCTTGGCAGACAAGATGAACAGAAGCATTTGCAGGTGTACACCTTTTAAAATTTGGGAAGGCTTGTTTTCCATTGAGGCAAAAGTCTAATTTTCGTACATGGAAAACTTTACTGTCATTGCATCAGTTCCCCCCTCCTATTTGCAGTCTTAAAAAGAGGGAGGCAGGCATGTGAGCAGCAAAAGTCTGACTCTGCTGTCGCTCAAGGCTCCTTTGTCTCACTATTGTTTAGGTCAAAACAGTAACTTAGTCAGGGTTCCACAGAAATCATGGCAAATTTAACAGGGACTGAGACAACTACACAATTCTTTAGTTTGTTTTTTCCTCAATGCTAAAAGGAGAAGATGGCTTTCTTCCATCTTTCCTTCTTCAGGCCAAATCTGCAGGTTTATGTGTGAGAAAAGACAGACAGACACACACACACACAAAAAAAACAACAACAAAAAAAACCAAGAAGAGATTGTTTATATGAAAAAACTCAAGATTTCCTTTTCTTTTGAGTTTCATGCTAAGTCTGATATGAAAAAAGATTTCTTTTCATTTTTTTCCTGTTAGCGATGCCTCTGAGGCTTAGTAGTGATGGTGGGTAGACAGGGAAATGATGAGGAAGAAAGGATGAGAGTGATTGGGAGAGTGGAGAGTGAATAGGTTTCCTCTCTTGTATCCCAACCAAAGTGAGAAGTTATAAACCTAATTCAACCTTTTAAAAAAAAAATAAAGATAATGCCTCTGTTGATGGAAATAATTATTGAACAGAAAAAAATCTGTGAGAGATAAAAAATCTGTGAGGAAAAAAATCTGTGAGGGGAATCTATTTTATCTTCCTAAAATTTGGAGATAGGCCTAGCTGGGTATACAGGAAGATGAACCATGATTTTTGCAAACTGTATCTATAAATCCTCTTCTCTTTAATGTCTATCTTTTCTTTTATTCCATGAGGAAATCAAACAAGTCTCTCTTTGAACTTATTCATTTATTCATTCATGCAAAAATTTACCAAGTCAATCTATTACATGCTAAAAACTATGCTAAGTGTTGATTAATTTACTCTCTAGCTTACACAAATTTTAGGAATAATACATTCTATTCAGAGTAAGGTAGAATAAAGAGAGGTAGCTAGTTCTAACAGTTTTTTTTTTGTTAACATGCTACCACTTATCAGAACAATGTGGATTTATTTATTGAAGCACTGCTGTCTCTAATAGACTGCAGAGGTCAGGGTCCTCCCTGAAGTGGAAGAGGACACTGGGGACAGTGAGAGGTAAAAGATACCTTGGAATAGTGTCAGTAACTTAAAGAACCCAGTTGCTTAAGAGGCAACTTAAGAGGGGAGCAAGAAGAAGAGGATGACCCTGAAGCCAAGCCACCTTCTTTGTTTGAGATCAGTGATATATGTGCAAGGAGTGGGGATGGGGAAGGAAGACAGAGCAGCCAGAGGCAAAAGGAGAGTATTGGGGGAAGGAGGCTTTGGAACTTCAACACAGAATATAGAGGAATCAATCCAGTAGTTAAGGCATGGCAAGTAAACAGTAATATCATCACCAATCATAATCAAGTTATAGATTCCCAAAGTAAATCTCCCTGGAAAACAAGTGTTTACCACAATCTACATAGCTGTCTGAGTTACATCTTGTGTTTACTTGCATTTCTGTCTCCCTAGAAAACAGGAAACGCTTTTAGAATTTCCCTGGTTTCAAAGTTTGCAACAGAATCTTTCTATCTGGAGCCTCCCAAGAGTAGTGACTGCAGATTCCAAACCTAATTGCTTCCTAAGGACTTCTCAGAGCTGCCTGGGATTGCTGAGAAGAGGGCACAACAGCCATGTCCTCAAGATCCTCTTCTTTAGAGAGGCTTCTTATTGGTTATACTTCTTCAGATTCCTAACCCAGGTGGAATTTAATTTAATTAAACCACATTTCCCCAAAAGCATCTTTTATATGCAAAAGTTCATCTTAGCAATTTTCTGGAGCTACTCAGAAGCTTGATTAATGGGTCAGGCAAATGGGCTTAGGTAACTAGAAATGAGTACCTGCCAAGAAAATGAAATAGTAAAACAAAGCAATCTAGGTGGAAGGAGATCGTCATTTAACTTGAGAATTAAGTAAAATGTCCAGTAGGAATACACACGCGGGAAGGTAGAGTTTTTGTTTTTTTTTAAGAAGAGAATTAACATCTCTGATGAAAGGAACAGAGGTATGTAAAGGCATGAAACTGGAAGAGAAAAGGCTGGAGGATTTTCATAATATGATTCCTTGTGGCTATTAAGGGATTTTTCAGGATCTGCCTAGTGGGCAGATCTACTTGCTTAATAGCATCCGACAAAGCTTTATCCAAGCAAAAAAAAAAAAAAATCTGTAAGACAGGTCTAGGGATATAGCTCAGTGGTAGAGCATTGGCCTAGCATGCACAAAGGCCTAGGCTTAATCCCAGCATACACACACATGCACACACACGTGCACACGCACACACACACACACGCACACAAAAAGATAAGACAAGTTCAGTATTTGAGGCCCATTAATGAGCCACTATAGTTATATCAAATGTAACATTGTGGTCTACTACTATTTTAATTTAATGAGAAGTATTCATTTATGCCACCACATTTGGGTCTTGTTTGAAATCAATTTATTAATTTTGATAGGATAAGTTAAATAATTATATAAGAAACCATAGTCAGTGAAACACACTCTTATTTCAGAAGATAAGGGGATATTTTAAATGTTTCTAATCTGAGAGATGTAATAATAACTGGATTCTCTTAAGACTTCTAGGACTCTTTTGAGACTTTCATAAAGCTTTCTTCTCTGGCTATGATAGATTTGAGAATATAAATTGATTAAAAGATTTTTTAAAGTGATTTGAAAAACATGAGAACATTACATAAATGTAAGGCATTTCAAATATGATTACTAGACAGCTTTGTTATCTTCCATACTTATTTAATTTACCATTTTTAGTACCTTGTCTTCCCAGCTCAGACACTGAACCCATTAATGATCATTAATGATACACTTTGAGTTGCATTATCATATTGAGATCTTAAAAGTATGGCATCTGTAGTTTAATAATTCTTTAATTCTCCAATTCACTGACCTATCCTGTCCTTCCTTCTTTCCTTGTAAAGTATAGAATCCAGGATCCATCCTTATAATCACTTCTTTTCATGTTAATCAGAGTCTTCTGAGAAAACCAGATCCTTGTTAAATTCAGTGTTCCCCTCTCCATGTCTATACCCTAGCAGCTACATGTGGCTGGAGGTTTTTTTTTCTCCAAAAAACAGGTCTAACTTCAAATTTATGATCATCATCCTCAGTGGGGTTCTCATGGGTACCTGGCAGTCCTTCCTAAAACAGGGAACATCTGGACCACCACTCTTTCTCTTGGTCTTTCTCCTTCCATTCTAATTGTTTTTGTTTTTATTAAAATAGGTGTTTTTTTTTTAAATCCAGTGACATAAACTGAAAAAGCTTCTATATGTGGACCATTCTGAAATAGTAATTTCCAGCCTAAACCAAATCTCCAGTTACTTAGTCAGTGAGACTGTATTCACACTCAGATATTGCATTCAATTGCCTTCTTAGCATCCCCACTTGAAGACTTAATAAATATCTCCTTTTCACCATGTTGGAAACTGAGCTCTTGGGCTCCCTTCATAAACCTGCTGCTCACTGAGGCCCCATCTCAGGAAATAATAACTGCTTTCCTCCAGTTGCTTAGATTAAAATGTGTTGATGCATTCCTTTTCCCTTTCCCTACAACCAATCCATTAACAGATCTATTTGGCTATGCTTTTAAAATAAATCCCAAATATGACCACATCTGATCACTTTAATTAAAGGTATCACATCTCTCACTTGGGTTATTGCCAGAGTCCCCAAATTGCAGCTACCCTTGTAGTAATCTCTTCTTTACACAGCAGTCAGCATGACCATATCAAAACTCAAATTAGGTCATGACACCTCACTGTTCATAATCATAATGGCGTCCTGTCTCATTCAGAGTAAGAGTTCATTTGTTCCTGAGTGCTCTAGCCTTCGTCTTCCCTAGTGGCTTCTGGCTGTCACTTTCTTCCCCACTTGCTGTACAATGCCTTCATATTGTTCCTCAAACATGGCAAACACTTTTCAGGGCCTTTGTACTTGTTCTAGAATACTCCTCCCTAGACATCTCCTCAAACATTACTCATTAGTATTTTCTCACTTCTTGATTTGGGTCTCTTTCCAAAGAAAGTTCTCTGACTACTTTATCTGAAATAACAGTCTCCAACTGAAACACCCTGATCCCCCCAACATCCTAATCCTGTGTAATATTTCCATAGAATTTATAACATCTGAAAAGTATATTTAAAAGTTCCCTCTGTATTCTGAGTGTACATACACAAGTGTAAACAGGATGTGCTTTGTCCACAGCTGTAAAGCATTGCCTGCTGCACACTAATCCCTTGAAAATGCTGTGGAATGAATGAGCAGATGAACGAAGGATGGTCTTGAGGCAACCCCTCTTTTAGGAGACAGAGGACAGATACACTTAAATTCATTCCTCCACCACCCAAATTCCTGAAGAGAGTTTGACTATATCCTAATATCTATATCCTTGATATTAAATAGTTTAGAAAAACAACAGCCATGCAATATGATATAACTGAATTAATAATCACATTACCTGAGAGTTGACTGTACCTCTAGGCACAGATCAGTTTAGGCAGAAAAAAAAAGCAGATTTCTGAAAATTACTATGGTTTTAATCTAGAATATATATATATATATTCT